CACGTATTGGGGTCACACCGATAGACATGCCGCGTGAACGAGCCGCGATTTTACGCCAACGCGACACCAGCTAACGATATATTTTTAGATCGCTTATAAGAAGAGCAACATCCGACATGCAACTTGTGTATTTTTTTCCCTTTTTTTTTCCTTTTTTTTTTTTTTTTTTTTCTTTTGTTTTAATTCTGTAACATACCTATTTAAGTTAGCGCTCATTACAATTTTTAAACGTTACGTGATTTTAATATTCTCGGTGTGTTAATCAAATGTTTCCCTCATTGATTTTTTTTCATCTCGGTTAAAATTTCGTGTCCGTAATTTGACGGATAGATACATAATTTGAAAGAAAAAGAAAAAGAAGTATTCGATAATTATTAACGATGTTATCTATGTTTTTCGTTTTTTGAACAAAAAATTTTATTCACTTTTTTCTTTTTTTCTTTCTTTCTTTTTTTTTTTTTGTTACCCGTATAAAATATCGATCGACTCGTTTTATATACGTAACGTTGAATTTTTCAAGAGTACAGTGTTGTGTAATTAATTGTTCGCAATTCTTCGTATTGCGTTTGACGAAACGTATGGTTTACTACTTGTCGACACGCAACCGCGTTAACTATGATTCGTTTGAAAATTCATCGAAAAATATTTTTCAATGTTTTTATTCCGATAAAGTTAAAAATAATTAATAAATCTTCTCTTTTTGAAATATAGATATTTTTTATTTCAAGATAAAAAAAGAAGTTTTATATTTAAACGAATATATATTGTATGAATGATAATAAATGTTAATTATTACTTTACTGAAAAAGAAAAAAGAAAATGATTAACGTTTTACATCTAAATAAATAAAATTACCAAATATTTCCTATCTAAAAAAAAAAAAAGAAAATAAAGCTCTGTGTGTACAATTATTTATATATATTATACTTTTATAAATTAAATTTATATAATTTTATATAAAATAATAAAGAAACATTTGATATATTGAAGTAATTACTGCTGTTGATCAGATAATCATATTAAAATGAATATCATCTGCATAAGATCTTAAAAATGATCTTTTGCAAGTGTCCAAAGCTCAGGGTCGAAAAAGCCTCAAAGGATATTCCATTCGGGTCAAACGATTTGGGAAATCCCTTAAAGATGAGAGACTTAGACTAGAAAACTTCCTTCGAGATTACACCAAAAGAGGATATCAATTTTGATCTTATTTTCTTTTTTATTTACTAAAGTAATCCATCTTCGTTTCATCTTCATTTCAGAATATCCATTCGTCCAAGCCAATTTGGACAAATTTTATGACAAGGATTCGTCCTACTTTCTATTCTACGAATAATTTTATTCAAAGAGAGAAATAGATAGAGGTAAGGAAAGAGAGGAAAAAAACGAAACTGTAAAAGGAACAAATAATTGAACATTTTTCGACAATGGATAAAAGGATTAATCGTCGATGCAAATTCTGGTTTGCAAATGGGATAATTAAATCTTCTTGGTATCCCCACTACTTTCCCCTCCTACCCTTATCCTCCTGTTCCTCTTTTCTTCTCGCTTTAAAATTTGTTAAGAAATCAATATCCACTGACAAACTCAATTTTCTGCATACATTTTTACTTTTTAAACGTACCAAAGTTGAAATTCAATGAACCTGCATAATACTTTGTTATATATCGAATTATTCAACAATAAATCATTCGAAATAAATGAATCTTTTATTTTTTAAAACAATAGTACATCATCAGTGATAAAAAGAAAAATAGAAATAAACGACGAATTTAAGGATACGTGGGAAGTAATATCCTTGACCTTCCTCAATCGTCTGAAAACGAGACTTCCCACGTATTTCTTCGAACAACTTTTTATATTTCATTCCTTTTTCTTTTTCTTTTTCTTTAACGTCTTTTGTTTTATTTCTCTTTTTTTGAATAAGAAGAAGAAGAAAATGAAGATTTTTAGCATCTCTTTTTGATTTTCCTCTAATTTATTCCACCCAAATGTTGGCTGACGTGTTTCTCTCATCTCCTGGGAGATGAGGATTTTCGAATAATCGATTACTTACTTTGGTATTAATCGATCGGTCGAATGTAATTTATTAAATCATATTCTAGTAAATTCGTAGGAAGATTTAATGGTTCAATGAGAGATTCATAAGGTCACATTTTTCATCTCATTTACTGAATATCATAAATATTTAAATAAACATATCCTTTTTCATTTATTTTTAATTGTTGTTTAAATAAAAATTATTGCACAACGTTTCTGAACGATACGACATTTTTTTTTTATTATTATTTATCAATAATTTCTATATAAAATGTTATTTTTAAATACATCGACACAAATCTCTGTAATTTTATTTTTAATTAAATAAGAAATACGTGTTAAATATTAATGTAACAACTGCCATTGTGATCAGACAGTCAAATTTAATTTTTAAATTCATCGATAAATCAACGATTTGTATTCTAAATTCAAATATAGGAAACATATTAAATATTGAAATAGTAACATTCGTTGATCAGACAGTCATAGGACACATTTATTTGAATACTAATAAGATTAAACTATTTCTAAGTAGGCCAGTGATATTTCTATTGCATACAAACACACGTTAAGAAACTTTCCCATGCACGGAAATGTACGTATATAAGTTGTTAGAAAGATAAGAAATAAATATAGAAAACGAAATCGAGTTGACATTTGGGTCATCGTCTAATTTTGCGAAGAAGAAAGTATATAAAAAGCGAGATACGAAAGAGATATAAAAAAAAAAATAAACAATCGATTTTATGTATCTTAAGGAATGTAAAATAATAATGAAAATTAAATAAAGATAAATACGAAAAAAATCGAAATTGAGTCGTCTCTCTCTCTCTCTCTCTCTCTCTCGTCGTAAAATGTTTTTTATTATTTTATATATATTTTCTATTATTTTCTTGTTCTCTTTTTTTTTTTTCCTTTTTTCCCATCGTCTAATAAAAAAAGCATTTTTATTTAGAAGTCGATAAACGTGTAGGATGTCTTCGAAGGGGGATCGAAGAGGGTTTTCGACGTGGTAGTATGAGCGAGTATGAAACTTTGTGGGGGAAAAAAAAAAAAATGAAGAAGAAGCAAAAGAAGAAAAAGTAAAAGAGGAAGAGCCTTACTTCTTTATTTAATACCTAAAACGTAAAAGATTTATATGGATCCAAGCCTCGAGGTTGTAGCTTGAAATTAATAACGAAATGTATTATAGTCCTCTTCCAGGATCATAAAAAAAAAAAATATATATATAAAAGAACGAAATGAAGATAAAGAGATTTGCAGACTTCCGGTTAGAGTTTCTGTTTTCCGGAGATCTCTCGACGTGAAAATCTCGACCTACCTCGAGTCAAGAGGATCTACGTAGAAAACCATTAAGAGACCACACAAAGTAGAAACATAAGAGGGAAATACTCTCAAGATATTTATAAGAGTTGAAATAGTGGGTGTTTATTTATCGAGAAATCAAGAAAATGTTATCGTTCTAATTCAATTATAATATTGTCAACGAGTATCTTCTTCCATTTAATTAATTACAATTATATCTCTCCAAACACATATTTATTTAAATATTTATTAAATTAACGAAAATGTAAAATCAATTCGTCCTGTAACAACAAAAACAATTTATCGAATATCTCGTTTACTATCGACAAATATTTTCCGTTTAATTATAATATCAATTTCATTTACTTATTCGCGCGTTTTTTATTTTCATATATATATATATTGAAATATTTTATTATATTTATTAAACCAACGAGAATAATATAAAAATCGGTACCAAAACAAAAATAACAATCATCGATAATATCTCCCCTGTTGACATAATAACAACAAATACGATAAACTATAGATATACCATCAATCTAAAAATAATCTTAAACATTAATCGCATGTAATATTGAAATAAAATGAATGAATCAAATAGATTGTGTGTCATAAGAATAATATGACTAATGTTCTCCTGAGAGAAATCTCAGGGCGTATACACTTTATTATGGTCTTGGATACAAAGTTCCTGTCTTCGTCCGAACGCAGTATTCTCTTCCTAAACAACATCCCTGTCCCTCTCTCTCTCTCTCTCTCTCTCTCTCTCTCTCTCTCTCTCTCTCTCTCTCTCTCNTCTCTCTCTCTCTCTCTCTCTCTCTCTCTCTCTCTCTCTCTCTCTCTCTCTCTCTCATATTCACCCTCTTCTTGTCGTCTCTCTTTTTACCACCCCCGAGAATCGACGTTCGCCTTTCACATTTATCGAACGAATGCGCGCGCATTGCACAAGTGGAACGGGGCGTGCTAAGTCTTGGTTGGTTGTAGTGGAATCGTCGTATACGAAATCACCACCAGCTGAACAACCACGACGACGACGACGACGACGACGACGACGACAACGACTAGGACAACTAGGACGACGAAAACGACGAGGACGATAGACTGTGACGAACATCTCGACGAGGACGACGACAATCGGTCCGAGAACTTTGGAGAGCATCGTATCCTCCACAATTCTCTCTCTCTCTCTCTTTCTTATTGTCTTTGAAAACGCAAGCGCGCCAATCTTCTATCTCTTTTTCTCTTTAATCATGCGCATGCTCATTCTAAACAACCTTTCCCACCCCTTATCCAACTAACCATCATCCCTTCCGCAAACTCTCTCTCTCTCACTCTCTCTTTCCTTCAAGCCCTCTTTTTCCCTCTAATTTTCTCTCTCTCTCTCTCACTCACTGTAATCTTCTCTCGCATTTTCATTCTCTTTCACTCGAATTTTTTTTGTTTCCCTTTCCCTCTTGATCTAATTTTCTCCCACTTTCTCTCTCTCTCTCTCTCTCTCTCTCCCTATCACTATTTTCCACCTTCTCCCATTTACCCTCTCTTATCTGTATCATTATAAATCATCTCTCACATTTTTCTTTCTCCTTCTCGATCTAATTTGTTGTTCTCCCTCTTACTTGATATTAATATCGTCTCTCTCTCTCTCTCTCTCTCTCTTTTTTTCTCTCTTTGTCATTAGTAAAGGGAGAGTGGAGAGGAGAGGAGAGGAGAGGAGAGTAGAGGAGAGGAAGAACGTATCTCTAAATCCACCCCCGTCGTTCATTTAGGTGCGCGCGTTTCCGAGCGCGACGAATCAGCCGCGGGGCAGGCAACCACACGACGGAGCTGCTCGTTTGCTCGTTCGTTCGTTCGTTCGTTCGTTCGTTTGCTCGTACGTTCGTTCGTTCGTACGTACGGTACGTACGGTACGTCCGTCCGTCCGTCCGTTCGTTCGCGATCGTGATCGTGGTGTCGTGGTTGTGATCGTGGTCGTGGTCGTGTCGCGTTATAGCCGATAAACAACAAAACGTTGGTGGTGCTTACTGCTACTACTACTATTACTACTACTACTACTACTACTACTACCACTACTACTACTACTAAACTGTTCTCTGGCCGCGTTCAAGAAGTTGAGATAGGAGACGACGACGGATCTCCGGAGTTTCAGTTATAAGGAGTGAAAGATACAGAAGGGACAACACATAGTCTTCGATCTGTCTGTCTGTCTCTCTCTCTCTCTCTGTCTCGTGTGACACTTCGTAATAAAACCCGTCTCGTCGACGTTATTATTCGATTGACCACGCAAACGTCGTATCATATTTTTCTTCCGAAATTATATATATATTTATTTCACGGAAGGAATTAAATAAAGATTTACAAATTTTGTTCTATCGGACGACGAGGACAAGGACAAGGACGAGGATTTATTTGAGACACCTTTTTCTTCTTCTTTTTCCACCACCACCACCCCTACTACCATCGAACGTTCATCGTATTTCGGGGGAGAATATTTTCATAAGAATAATTGATAACGAAAGGAAAAAGAAAAAAAAAAAAAAGGAAAAAGAAGCAAAGAAAATAAATTCGCAAATTTTTTTTTTCCGGACAAACGTCTTCTTTTCTCTTTTCTTTCCGTTCCAGCCCCTCACCCACCCCCTCCATCGGTGTCGGTCTCTCTCTCTCTTTCTCGACTCGATCGAAACAAACAAAAATTTTATAACACGACTAAAGACCGAGAATAATACTCTCGAGTTCTCTTCTTCGAAGAAGTTACGTGGGATCGATCGTACGGCCATTTTGCACGGCAACCGACATCTTCATCGCCGCCATCATCAACGTTCAGGAGGAAGAACACCTCTTTCAACGGAAGAGAGAGAAAGAGAGAGAGAGAAAAAGGAAGGGAAGGAGGAAGAAGGAAAAGATCTCATCAATAAATCTAAACGATATCTTGATTGTTAATATTATCTACGAACGATCGTGTCAAGTGTTGTCGGAATATACTTAAGTTGGATTACTGAGATCGTGTTAAAGGGAAGAAAAAAGAAAAAAGAAAAAAAGAACGAAAAGAAATAACAGAGGGAAGAAATAAAAAGTGTGATTTGGTATCGTCGTAGAGACGACGAACTCTTCTTGTAGTTAGTTTTATCGATCGTTTGACTCTACGGCCATATTACTTTCTCTCTCTCTCTCTCTCTCTCTCTCTCTCTCTCTCTCTCTCTCTCTCTCTCTCTCTTTCTGTATATACATATACACATATATATGCGAAAAGGATACGTGTAGCATCGTGGGTGAATAATCGTAGATACTCCGAAGTTATACAAATTAAAGAACAAGTATTGACAAAAAATTAGAGGAAGAGGGGACTAGGTAGGATCCAAGGATTCGTTTAGGATATTTGTGTAGAAGGATCGACAAGGAAAAAGGAAAGGAAAAGTAAGAGGAAGAGTAAGAAGAAGAAAAGGAGGAAGTGGTGGTGGTGGAGGAGAAGGAGGAAGTGGTGGTCGTGTCCTTCCGGTAGAAGGAAGAAGTCAGCAGGCTGGGAGGACGGCTGAGCGAGGCGGTGGGTCCCGTCGTGGAGGAGGCCATCGAGCCAGGGGATGCAACCCCGCTGACGGGACCCTCGAGGGAGTCCTGGATTCCTCGAGCACCCCCGCCCCCTCCGCCACGCGTTACAACACAAAGTCCACCGAAACCTCCGCCCACTACCACTACTATTACTACTACTATTAATACTAATACTAATATTAATACCGAGTCCGAAGAATCTCGAATTGACTCGGTGGCCCAAAATTCAGACACCCAACGTAATCCGAACCCTGCTGGACAAAAACAGCATAATCCACACAACAATCCGGGTGATCACTCGGGCAATCCAGGTGATTCCAGTGAGGAAACGAGCAATCCCGGTAGTAACACTCATCAAACTACCCAGACCACTCAAACTCACCCCCAACAGACTCAAACACAACAACAACAACAACAACAACAGCAGCAACAGCAACAGCAAGAACAACGATCAACCATGGGTACTGTTTTGTCATTCAGTCCTAGGGATCGACGTGGCTCCGCTTATCCACCAACGGGTCATCAACATCCTAGCGATTTTACGCTCAACAATTTCAATTACGAGCAATTGAACAATGCGAAAAATCGGGAGAACAAGAGTGCCGTTGCCACGGTAGCACCGGCACCACCTACGAGTCATCCCCCATCGAACAATAATTCATTGCAGAACAATAATATTAATCTTAACAATAACGACAATGCGAGAATAATCTCGGAAAAGAATGCATTGGAAAAAAATTTGAAGAAACATTCGTTGTTCATCAATGCATTATCGTGGAAACGATTCAGTACAGCAAACAATAATAAGAAAAAACTCGATAACAAAAACAAAAATATCGCTTTTAGACAACCGCTCGATAACATTCCCATTGTCGATAAGAATAAAAATATACAAACACCTCAAGTAAGTTTTCTTTTAATTATCATTAATATTTATCTCATTTTCGTGAGATTAGATTACCGTTAATTTTCCGTTTAAAAGTTACCATTCATTCTTATCGAAAAACTTTCATCTCTTTTCCTCTAATGATTTAAAAATCGTATATATATAGGGTTTACATTGTTTTTGAAAATTAATCATAAAACGATCTTGTTCTTGAACGTTTAGTTATTCTTAACTATTTAGTAAAAGTTTTTACTACGAATATATTTCGTAATACGTGAATTATCTACATTGCTTTTCTACAATGACTTCAGTAATGTTTTGTATTTTAATCGTTTTTTGTATTGATAATCGTTCAATCGGAATTTATCTTTAATCATTAGAAAATTAATTAAATAATATAAGTTAAATGAAAGAAATCGTTTCTTAATTTACAGTTAAAACGATGTTAAAAATGTTTCTATCATTGGCTAGATTTGTTATTTTATTTGTAGACTCGTCCATCGATTAACATCTTCTACTATATTACATAAATTTGTTCAATATTTAATTGTATAATAAAATTTCCTTTATACATTACTATATTATTTTAATTAAATAAATAATTTAAATAGAAATATATATATATATATATGTGACTTAACAACGCGCACGTGTCGGGTATGATTCAATAATCGTTGACTCGTTTAGTTCATAGACTCGTCCATTAACTAATTATTTCATAGAAACAGTTTTAACACAATTATTGATCAAAAAAATGTTCTACAATTATTATACGAAAAAAAAAAGAAAAAAAAGAGAGAGAAAAAGAATGTGAAATAAAAACTATATATTATTGAAATAAATATAATAAAAATAAAATAAATTTGACAGACAAAAGCGCCAGCGTCTAACAACAATCATACAACGCACAATCCAACGTGCGAAAAATTGGTACAGAAACCATTGCCTCCTGGACCAAGAAAAACCGTCATCCAAGCGTCGACGTCAGAATTGCTAAAGTGCCTCGGCATTTTCCTACGCAGGAAATGCACGCGATTAAGGGACTTCCAAGCTGGCGATGCAGTAATGTGGCTTAGAACAGTCGATAGGAGTCTCCTACTTCAGGGTTGGCAGGTAAATTATCTTTTAAACAATATAATAAAATAACTTAAATTTGATTAATTTAAACATAATCATTAAAATTACAAGACTTCTTTTTGAGAAAGAGAGGACACATTTGTTTTATTTCTAACCAACGATCGTTAATTATGCTTGTCAATGCATCATTAAATTTTCAAGAAACAAACTCTCTCATGGGAGGGAAGTAACATAAATTGGTAGCATGCATCAAAGATCCCTTTTCTCGATTCTTGTCCACGTCCATTGGGAATAAAAGCGTAGAAAAGTTCACATTCATCAATTCTAATGTTTCTTTGTTTAAAAACTATCTTGTCAATACAAAGTTCTTTGTTTTATTTTTTTGTACAAATAGTCAAGAATGTCGTATAAGATCTTTTTTAAGAGAGACAATGTTTATAAATATTAATAATTGCATTAGGAACTTTAGGTTATTCTAAATTTTAATGACTGAAAGTATTATATATATATATATAACGTGCATGTATAGTAATTTTTAAATATTATTATTTGAAATAATAATCATAATAGGATATATTAATAACTGAATTAGAAACTCTAGGGTATCCTTAATTTTCATAACACGTATGGTATACCATTCAAAATATAATTGATTATTTGTTGAATATAGTTAGACCTACAATTGTTTAAACAATTATTAAGAAATTAGAAAGACAAATAATAGTAATATTAAGAACTCAAGAAACATTTGAAAATTTAATAACAAAATCTATAATATATACGTGCACGTTAGACGATTCTAAAAGATTATTTATAAGAAATCATAAAGAAATTTATCGTTTATTCTAATATCCTCTGCAATTAATATAAATTCAAGTTTTTCATAGATATCCCATACGAACAAATACGAAACAATTTTCTTAAAATTTTATCGATCGTATTACAAAACGTTCGAATATCGATTACGATATGTAACATTGTATAAACTTAAAGTAACATCATTTTAACCTAATCTATAGTCAACTTTGAACGTTTACATTTCCAAGAAAGTTTTTTCCGTCACGTGAAAAGATCATCACGTTTTCACGACGATCGCGATAAAACGTATATCGATTGACTCACCTAAACGCACACGCATACACGCGCGCGCGCACACACACACACACACACATAAACACACGGGCGCATTTACGTCAGCGCCTATGTTCATCGATCTTTGTCATTTTCTTTCTCTTTCTTTCTCACTTAAAAGAAAATATTCATATTTTTAATAATGAAACATATGACAGGAGAAGAGCAATGATGTTTTATAATTTCATGCTAGATAATCGGAATAAATTATATTATAGCTCCCTTTTTGAAAGGGCGTTGGCCCTACAACAAAAAAAAGAAGGACGATTGAACGAATTTCGTTGTAAGATAAAGGACATTAAAATTCTGGATGCGTTCGTGCTACGTTTCGTCTAACATTTGAACGTTCTCCTCGCGTGCTTTTATGCAATCTTTGATAAACTTAAAAGATAATTATTTTCAAATGGTTTCAACGAAACGTATGCGTGATCGTATACATTTTCTCCTATACGATAATAACTAACTTTACGAATTTCATTAATTATAAAAACAAATAAATATATTTTCTTTTGTTCGTATTTTTAAACACTTCATCTTTATCTTGATAAAATATTTTGTTAATTTCAATTTGAGAAACACTATCTATTGAGAAGTATCTTTAATGGACTGTAATGGAACAGATATTGTAATTTAAAAAATGACTACGGTAATTTGGTGATGAAATAATATGATTTATTATGTACAATTAATTCATATATATAATGAATTTTGAGCATAAGATAAATTATTTGAAAGTAGATTATTGAGAAGACGGTCGGTTTGATTATACTAACACTTGTGCGAGAACACGAAACAAAAAAATGAAAAACATTATCATATACGATACTGACAACGAAATTACAACAACGTTTCTTTGAGAGTGTTAAAAGGGGAAAAATCCTTTAACCGAGAACCGAGTGTTGTTATAGTAGGAAACTGTTAAAGAAGTGAATAATTTCGAATGCTGGTTAGGACTCACGAATGTGAGAAAAACGCGAGCATGTAATCATTTCGTTCAAATCACCTCCCCGCCCTCCTCCCATCGCGAGCGTATAAAGAAATGCTGTCGCGTTGCGACAGCCGACAAAGGGCTTTCATATGAGCGGTCTTTATGAATTTTCAACACTGTCATGGGAAATGAGTAGAACTATGCGTGGGTGAGGCAAAGACAAAGAGTCCAAGTTAGAGAAAGAGACGGAGAGAAACCACAGGGATGAAGGGGTGGTCACGTGCAGCAAGAGGGGTTGCGCAGGGCAACGTTGCAAAGCCACCCCTTAGATGTAGAAAAATGCGGCAGGGTTCTCGAACAGGGACGTTCACCCCTCTACTACCGAATGCGGAGAGGGTTCGGATTTCGTTTCGTGCATTGGCCTCTCTACCCTTAGCTTTAAGGGGTGTCCCAAGGGATAACACGAATGAGAGAGAAGGCAAATACATTAATGTGTTATTCGTGTTACCAATGAGATACCTAATTTCATGCATCGATTTTTTCCATTGAATTCAATTAGTATAGATTATTCTTTTATTATAATAAAAAGTGATGAACTTTCATTTGAATTTTTTTATTATTCAATTTTTTTCCTATTTATATATATATATATATGTATAATGTTTGATAATTTCTTTTATGTTTAATATGAATCATTATAGAGTATCGTTTATGTACATATTTGTATGTACTTGTTAGTTCTGTTTGACAAACTATCGATAATTTGAGATGCATATCGACATTCATAGAACACATGTCGATAAAACGTTCAAAGTGACGAGTAATGAAAAATCAAGGTATCCTAACCACGGTAAATCACTTGCGGTTTGCACAATTCTGAGGTTTCCACGTGACATCAACAAGCATTGATCTTATAGCTGCACGTGTCAAATCTAATCAGTTTGGGTTTGACGTATTTTACTTGTTCTAGAAACTCGATAAGTAAAATATGAGAATAACGTTTTAAACACTTTTTAATATTTCTGTTCTATCTAGAAATTAGGAAAGTAACTTGATTTATTATTAATAGAAGATCTTCTTTATCCTTCATTTTAAATAAAAAAACAAATAAAATTTGCATAATCATAATGAACATTTAAATGATTCCCATTATATTTGTCTACATTACGAAAAGGAAAAAAATTTATTTTTAAAGTTTATTAACAAATTCGATTTTATTATAACAATATAATTGAATTGTTTAAACAAATAGAGGATAATTAATGCTTTAAAATGGTACTTCTATCAGGTTTCTACGATTTTTCGTTCCGAAGATATAAGGAAAAAAAGATTTCCATTCATAATTCATACAACATCTGCTTATAGTAGTAAAAGTGCGTAAATTCTTAGAATTTATATAGGTCATTGACCCAATTATGAATGAAATTATGTAGGTCAGTGGGTCAACGTAAAAATTATTCATTCCAATGGGAATATCTCAGAAAATAATAATCGTAGAAACTTGACTAATACACCATTTTAAAGGGTAAAATTTTCTCTATTTTTTAAACTTATTTTTAATAGTTAATAAATAATCTATTATAAACAATTGATATAAAAAATTTCTTTAGAACCAAATACATCCTATTTTGTCATGAATAATAAACATTCAAATCGTATGAGTGTTTTGTAAAATTACATAAATTGATATATAGTTAATAAACAAATGACACTTTGTTACTAAAAAATTAATTTATATCCTATATGTAGATGTGGAAATATCTTAAGAACTAACAGTCGTAGAGACTTGATAAAAACACCGTTTTAAAGCGTAAATTATTCTCTATTTTTTTTAAACGTATCGTTAATAATTAATAACAATTTGTTATAAACAATTTTTATAAAGAAATTCTCATGAACTAAGTTCGCCTCAATTTTCTTAGAAAAATTCAAATTTCAACGGATTTACAAAATATCATAAATTCCTAAATATAATTAATAAATAAATTAATGTTTTTCAAATAATATATATTCAAAGTAAACGCAATTTAATTTTAAAATAATCGTGCAAGAAGGAATACTCTTCCTACTATTACTTATTGGATATTCAAGATGATTGAATTTTTCGTCTTACCTCCGATCTTCTCAAATTCTAACATTTCCGATTAGATCTTTTCTTGTGTAAACGGACACCAAAGTCTGCCAATATATTTCGTATATAGGGATTCCAGATCTTCCGATATCTTTGTAGACCACGTCCTATATACATTTTCTTTCACTAACAGTTCATTCCAATTTTAGTAAAATTCCATTTAACAATAGGTTCATCTATTATTTCCAATGACATTTATTCAACTCTCTATTATTACAAAATTCTCACCATGTTGAAAATAGACATATATTCAATCGAGTATTTCACGATACGTAATTATAATACAAAGAAATCTATTTTATTTTCAATCAATAATCTTCAATTATTATTACAAATAATTTTTAACAATTATAATATATCCATACATTATATTTAAATAATTAAAAGAGAGTAAACTAGAGATTTATATAATGTATGCAAGCAACACGTAGTTGTTTAGACCCAACATAAAAACTAATCCATTCAGTCTAGACAAGCCACAGTAATAGTCGTTCATAAGATATGTTATGATTTAGAATGTCATTAGTAAAAAAAAAAAGAAACGAATCTGGTTAAGAGGAAGCCATATGTTGTAGGTGAAAGGAAAAATGCATTCTTCTTCTTCTTATTCTTCTTCTTATTCTTCTTCTTTCTTTCTAAACACGTGCAAGGGAAATAGAAAATAAAGCAAAGAAATATATATATATGTATAAGATAATTAGATAGATGAATAGATAGATAGATAGAAAGGTAGATATGCATTCCTGATTCACGTGGAAGCCAAAGAAACATTATCTCTTTCGTCCCTTTAGTTCGATTAATCGTATCATTGTAGAGGGGACTTTCAAAAGAGAATAAACTTTTCTTACTCACGTTTCTCAAGTTAAGATATATACATATATGTATGTATATATGTATATAATACCTAAGTTAGGACTAGGAGAAGTTAGACAAGGTGTAACGATAGGTTGCTCACCCCTGACCAATATCGACCGAACGTGTGGGGGTACTTTGGTATTAGTATTACCATTATATCTTTCCCTTCTTACTTTACCCTCTCATTGCATCAAGTTACTATATTTATATATTACTATATGTTTGTTAGAGTATGTTGCTACAAACAATTTATCTTACGTAGTTAAAATTTACACTTACAAACATCACACATACGAAATATTAAATTAAAAAAAAAAAAAAAAATAGATATTACATATATATTATAATATAAAATTTAGGGAAAGAAATAAATTTAATTTAGATAATAATTAATGATAAATTATTTTTATTATTATTATGAATATTTAAAATTATTTACTGAAAATCTAAAATTATATTATCACCAATATATATCGTCATAAATTTGAAAGAGACTTAAATAAATATCCAAATAAAATACATATATAAAATACTATAAAAATCATTTAATCGTATATCTATTTAAAATTATCTATAAAAAGAATTATAAATAATTGTATTAATTTAAACACAAAAATTCTCTAATAATTCTCAGTATTCTAAAGTTGTAACAGATTTAAATATACATCACAAGCAGATAGATATAGTTTGAATATATCATACTAATGATTACGTAGAAAGTTGTCACAAAGAAAACGACAGAGATAGAGATAAAGAGAGAGAGAGAGAGAGAAAAAGATACAAAGAGGAGTTGTTATTGTAAACCGAAGCTAGATGATAATGATGACGATAATAGAGAATGACGTTAATAGGAATCTAAGCTCTGTATGAATGTACGTAGGTATAACTAAGGACTAAATATAGTAGTAGTAGTAGCAGTAGTAGAAGGGAGAACGACAATAGAAACTAACAGCTAGGTAGGTAGATAGGTAGCTACCTAACTAACTAACCAACCAATCAAGTAACCAAGCAAGCAAGCAGCAGGTTGCTGGTTGGCGGGAAAACGTATTGGGGGCATCGATCCTGTCGGGTCATCGCGAGGTCTCACCGTTATAATGCACCTACATGTGCAATCCTCGAACCATTGCACCTACGTGCACCCACACGACTCGATGCGCTCACCTGCGCACGCGAATATCCAACAGCAGCAGTAGCAGTAGGAGTATATTGCAGCCGTTTCTATTCGTGTACACGATCACACGGCTCATGGGATATTTCATGCGGTTATATTCTGTTCACATCTTTAGCTTCTATTATTCTCATATAATATCGGTCTTATCGAGAAAGAAAGAGAGAGAAAGATAGGTCCAGGTAAAGCCATATTGTGGTTATATCATTATGGATCGTGAACAACGTATACTTTAGACTAACACTATCAAACGATTACAACCCTCTATAACTAACTAACTAACATCTCCTCATTTTCTTCCACACCCCAACACTACCCCTGGATAGGTAGATACGCTCGCCAAGTTGGATATCGGCCTACCTATCGTGTCCTAATTTCTTAATGAACACCCACGTTTCTGGAGCAAGAGGTGTGAACTTTTATGTTTATCATGTCGAATGATTATCCTTTATGTTTAATACGAAATCGATTAATTTAGAATGAAAGGTAGGATTAATTATTTCGAATTCAATGTTCATTTGATTCGTTGGTTAATCAAGAAGCCGGAAAATTTACGTGACGATTTTTATAATGAAGATTTTCATTAGGCACCTTGTTTATCTTCGATATATTTCTACGTTTTCTATCTTTTTATATCGTAGGTTTTTATATTCTTATCAAATTTGCGGATTAAATTTCCTTTTATTCTTCCAAGAAGTGTTTCTTCAGTAATCGAACTATCGATTGGTCTTCGTTGCAGTGGAAGTAACGTGACACTGTACTACATGAATCATCCATTTCACCCTTATTTTTACAAACGTATCCTATTAAATTACGAGTGAAAAGAACGTGAAAAACTTACGACATATTATTTTATTTATTATTAACGAGTACATTCATTTCTATACATTTCAACGACCTATTTAATTTATATTCTTTTATTTTCCTTTTCTTACAGGATGTCACATTCATCAACCCAGCCAACGTAGTATTCGTGTATATGCTTGTAAAAGAACTAGTCGATGGTGAGGAAGCTTCCGAGAGAGAACTTCAAGCAACCGTGCTAACATGCCTCTATTTGAGCTACAGTTACATGGGCAATGAGATTAGTTATCCTTTGAAGCCATTCCTCGTCGAGGATAGCAAGGATAAATTTTGGGATAGGTGTCTATTGATCGTCAATCGATTGAGCTCCGAAATGTTACGAATCAACAGCGAGCCTAATTTCTTTACCGAAATTTTCGCTGAACTGAAGGTAAACCAAATTCATTATTTTCAAAGATTTCTAATTATTTCATATATAATATGTTCATTATATAAAATATTGAAATGTTGCATTAGAATGATTAGAATATTTCTATTTTTTGTTCAACGAAATTAGGCTTGCGGAACGGACGAGCGTGGTAGCCTATCTGGAAGTGGCCTCGAACGGAGTCTCGTCGTCTCCGGAGTCGCGGTACCCACCAAGGCGGCTTGACGGAGCTACACACATCTGTGGGTGCGCATCTACCCGTACAGTTGCGACGTTACGACGCTCTGACAACGGTCGGCACGACGACGAGGAGCTGCGATCGCAGCTTGACCCCTCCGCATCGACCTCGGCCTCGACCTCGACGTCTACGTTGCAACGCCACCAAGATTCTCAACAGCAACTCCAACTACCGCAACAACCACACCAGCAGCAGCAGCAACAACAAAAGCAACATCAGGATATAACCATTCAAGGGGGTCGTTGTCCATCGTGCGGTCAGAGAAGACGAGAGGAAATTGTTTATACGATCGAAGATTTAGATGCGATCGAAGCACCGCCATTGGAATCTACGAGAACACCACCCCCATCGGCAAGTCGGACCTGCAGCTGCGACGTCCCGTCGTCTGTTACTGATGCACCGCAGACCGTTATCGACGATGACGACGGGGCTAAAGCCGAACTTCGAAAGTATCGTAGCGTCGATGCTAGATGGGCCAACACGAGTTTCCTCTCACCGGACGACGCGATCTGGGACTTGAAGAAACACGCGAGCGAGGGTACGGAATTCCGTTGGGCGCTTCATACTTCGAGTACTGACGTTGACTTGGCTAGAAAAACCAAGTGCAGTTGTCACAATTTAACGCCCGAAGAGAAGAGACCCCATGATGCCGTGCAACGTGGTGATCTTCGAAAGCATCACAGTGCTGAGACTGACAAATGGTCGATTAAACCTGATTATTTGGCACCACCTATGCACGATCTTAGAAAACACAGTAGCGATGATACGAGGATGGCACGCGAGGCCAGATGGACGTTACAGGTACCTGAGGTTTTACCTAATCCAAAACCTAGATGTACCTGTCCGAAGGCTAAAACGTTACCACCTCCACCGTCGCCGATCGAGCCACCAAAGCTCGAAGTAGAACAGCCGGAAGACAGGGTAGAAGAAGAGAAACCGAAAGAAAAGGAACATCCTGAAAGGAGAATGGTTTATTCTAAGTCATTAACACCCGAGGAACCAATCGCGCCGCCACAGGAAAGACCTGAATTGAAGAAACATGCCAGCGAAGGATCCAGATTAGCTAAACAAGAGAGAATCAAGGAACGACCGAAGTTGGTTAGATCAGCGCACCAAACCAAAAGCATACTCAGTATAACTGGTATGTCGAAAAAATGGGAACAAAAGGAAGCTATTGCTAGTCCAACCGAGGATGTTAGAAAACCTCGTTCTAAGTGGGCAATGAAGCCTCACTTTTCCTTGCCAGCTGATAAAAAGGAATCGAGATGGTCGAGAGGTGATTCCGCGGATTCGGGTAAAAGTAAGAGTCTACGCGAAAGGCCAAGATACAGCATTCGCAGGAGTATGTCACCAGAACCGGATCCAAGGCAAATGACGAAATTAGAAAATAGAGTCGTACGACGTTTGATATCACCCGAAATTACGGTTACCAATGCCAAATTCGTACCGTACGAGGACGCTTCGCCGTTGCCAAACGTTGGGGTTAAAAAACGGGAGCAAAAGCATATCAGCGAGATCAAATGGACACCGTACGATGGTTCACCGAGTGACGCAAGTATTGCTGGACCGATCCGAGCACCAACCATCGAATCTGAGGAATCGAAAAATTGGTCACCGTTTCACAACGTAACACCAACCCATTGTCCACCAATGGCTACTGAACAATCACGTGCCGCAGAGGAAGACTTTCGTTGGCGTTTTCTCAATCAAGTATCACCTTTTCCAATTTACCAAGGTGCTTGGAAAGACGAGTCACCTGAGAAAACACCACCGAAAAGAGCACCAAGTCCGATAGAATCTTCGCCTGTTTGGTCACCACAAGTACCAACCACGCCGATTAAAAGACAAAAATCGCAACTGCAACAACAACAACAATTATCGGTACAAGCGTATTCCCCGGTACAACAGAAGAAAAGTATCATCAAACACGAACGTCGTGGAGCATCGAAAAAGAAAGCTGCGCTTCGTGCGAGATCGGAAAGTGGATATCAGTTGGAGGAAAGATTGGCACCACCACCAATCCACACGATAGTACGTGCATCGAGCGAGGAACCAAAGGGTAGACAAAGGCCACTGTTGCTCAGATCGAAAGCACTTCTCGAAGTACCAACAACGATGGATCCTAGCAAAAGGTCTCTCAGTGAAGAAGTACCACGAATGCGATCTCGTGAATTAACACGTGGACCCAACAGGGCTAGAAGCGAAGAGGTGCCTAAATACAAAGATCCTTGGTTCTCCAATGAGGACGGTGAAGCCGAACTACGGCAATACGTCACGACGGTCTAACTTCGTTATCAATACGAGAAACATTTGTTTCATTTCAATCATCAAAACCACATCTTACCCCCACAATGTTTCATCGTTTTCCAAAAATTAATTTCTTTCATATTCATTTAACCATTCCAATATTTTAATGCAACCTTTCAGTTTGCCTTCCTTCACCCCCATTGAAGATTCTACGATAGAATCCTGTGATATTTGAAGGACGGTGTAAAATCCTATGATTTATTTCTTTGTCTTTATCATTTTAATTGATTTACGTTTATGATTCTTTTTTTTTTAACGCAAACGTACGAAACCGGTCGGAAATGAAAAGAAAAGTTTCAACATGGGTCCTTCGAAGCTGGCGTTTGAAAAGAAATAAGAAGAGAACCTAGTCGTTGGCCTACATTGGACTGCGATCAGAAACAATGAAAAATAAAAAATGAAGGGACAAGGAAAAGGAAATGATGACTTGATGATGTTTACGATCCTTTCGATAAATCAAAGTAGGAGCTGCGTAAAAAATAAGATAAACAAATACAAAAATACGTCTAACAGGACTAAGAGGGGGGGGGCGAGGAGGGGTCAAGTATCGACGAAAAATCTATCGTCTATTAATTATCGTTAACAATTAGTATAACGCAAATACATACGAAGCATGACGCGTGTATTTATTCGATAAAAAAAAAAAAAAAAGAAATAAAAAACCATGGAGAACATTGTAGACATTTTTCGATAAAACACGAAAAACAATAATAACGAAGAAAATTCTTTTTTTCGTTTCGAAACTTTCGCGATCGAGATTGTCGTCGTTGTCGTTGTCGTTGAATTTAACTAAAAAAAAACAATATATCAATAACGACGATTTACACTAACAATAAAAAGAATAAGAATAAGAAGAAGAAGAAGAAGAAGAAGAAAATAAAAAAAAAATAAAAATACGCGTTAGAAAGAAATAGAAAAATGATGATGAGTAAAGAAAATAAAAGAAAAAGAAGACGCGATATATAGTTATCCGAAAAAAAGGAAAAAAAAACGTTTCAAGTATAAAACGCTGTGAACGATTTAAGTGAAAAAACAAAAAAAAAAAATAATAATAAAAAACACAAAAATCGAAAGGGGGGGAAAAAAAGGAGAGAGAAAAGAATATAGAAATCTCAAATACAAAATAATAAGAATAATATTATTATAATAATAATAATTAATATTAATAATAATATTATTAATAATAATAATAATAATAATAATAATAATATAATGATTCATTGATTTTGACAATTATATGGTTTTAATGTGAACACAA